TCTCTCTCTCTCTCTCTCTCTCTCTCTCTCTCTCTCTCTCTCTCTCTCTCTCTCTCTCTCTCTCTCTCTCTCTCTCTCCCCAAAAGTTCCGCTCCGCCGGCACTCCCTCTCCGCCCTCCACTCCACCCATGCTCCAGCTCCGATGTCCCTCTCCTCCTCTGCCAGTTCTACCCCTCCGCACGAACCCTGCGTTAAAAAAAGAAAACGTGCGCTGTCGACCCGTGGGTTCCCCCTCCGCCTGCCAAAACTGTAGAGAATCTCTTGGGAGGAAACCATAAAAAAGAAAACGAAGAGGCTTCCAAAAAGCAAGCAGCATTACAACAACTGCATCAGCAACAATGCATAGGTGAGCCTCAACTTCACATCGACCCCAACCCCCCCCCCAAAAAGGTAGAAACCGCGCTCATGTTCTGAAGTTTTCCCCTCTTTCTTTGCAAGCGAAGCCGAAACAGGTACCCTTCTCATCATGAGCGACCCCACCCCTACGACAGTCGACTTATGTGATGGATGGCTATGAGACTACTCTATGCTACTGGACTTAGACTCTCTACGCTGCTACACTCAACTTTGTTTCTCTCTCTCTCTCTCTCTCTCTCTCTCTCTCTCTCTCTCTCTCTCTCTCTCTCTCTCTCTCTCTTTCTGGACACTGGCTACACAACCTCGCACAGACGCGCCCCACAGCGTCGACTATCCATCCCACGTACGCCCACCTTTCCTCCACTCTGCGCACATTTCTGCCCCCCTCTGCGGCCAACTTTCCTACCCTCTGCGCTGACTTTCCCTACTCTCAGTGCCCACCTTCCCTCCTATCCTGCCCACCTTTCCCGCCTTCTGTGACCACCTAAAGTATGACGAGAGAGAGAGAGAGAGAGAGAGAGAGAGAGAGAGAGAGTCGAAGCTACGATGACGATGATGACGAATTCTCCTTGCAACCCTGCCCAAAAAATAAAAATAAAAAAAATGGCTACACTAGACTATGATGCTGGATGGCTACACGACGCTTCTTTGTGCCACTGGACCACGACTCTCTACACTCGACACTAATCTTTGCTACTACACAACCTTGCCACTCTCTCTCTCTCTCCCCCCCCCCGCCCTCTCTCTCTCTCTCTCTCTCTTTCTGGAT